GGTTATCCACTAGATTTCTTAAAAGTGGACCTTGAACACTTTTGGCAATATTAAGTAAATGTTTTGTTTTAAATTAACTATGAATATTACTCTGAATTATGTTCTCATCCTATTCTAATCATTAACTTAAACTTATATAACTTCACAAAAGTTAGTAATCTTGCTTCCCACATTTTTCAAAGTGAGCTCATTCAATTAGCATCTCAGCCTCACCAACAAGGGTCCTAGACTAGAAAAATATCACTCCTGTGATAGAAAAATATATCTGACATATACAATTGCCAAATTAAAAGAAATGCTCATTGTTTATTCCTAATAACAAATGAAAATGTTAAATTTCCATTTAATGTTAAATGAAGATATTAAATAATTAAAATATTTTCTTATAAATGACAAAATTAACCACTGTAGTTTTCTAATAACCTAATTTTATTTGTTATGGGAAAAGTCTAAAACCAACTAAACAAGATATATAAACCTAATGAGGAAGGGAAACTTACTGCTAACCAGAAATATTAAAATACAAAATATCATTTTTTACTCTTTTGGGGGAATGCAAAGCATTTTACAAGAGTAGTAATTTTTTAGTATTAATACCTCTGGGAGTTAGGTAAAGAATCAATTGATTTTTATACCTAAAATGTTTGGATTTCTGATCTTGGCACTTTAATATATATTACAAAAGCATTTTGATTTGACAAGTTTCCCTGGCCCTAGTAATTTGATCGAATAGAGCAATGAAGTGTCTTAAAAATTTGAAAAATGAGGCAGTAAGCTAAAAAGGTGTGAACAACTTATAGTTTAGAGGTTAACGTTGGCAAGAATTTTTCAGTACTCAATTACTTTTAATAACCCTCAACATATTTTATTCTAAACTAGTGGTTAAAGGGTGGAGAGTAGGCAAAAAGCATGTATATCCTGGAAAAGCACTCTAGGTTTTTCTAATAACCCTAAATCCAATTCAGAACCACTTCTGTACATATTTGTTAACACTCAAATTAAAAATATGTAACTAAATTATGGATTCTGTTTACATAAATCAGTGTTGGTGCAAAATTGCTAATCATTCTGAATTTTCAGTTTCTCTGGTTCCAAAAGTGATAAAATTTGAATATGAAGCATTAAAATAACACATTTAACTTGGAAGTCACAAAATTTTAGAGCTGAACACCACCATAGAAATTATCTAGTCTGAACATTTTGATTCTTCAAATAAAGAAAAAGACACCCCAAAAATGTGCCTAAGATCATGAACTAGAGGGTGACAGAGCTGGGATTTCAACTCTAATGTCTTGATTCTAACTTCACTGCCCTTTTAAATTGTCCAAACTGTTACATCATCTTCAGGCCACTTGAAATTGGAATTATACATGACAGAGATTTAAGAAATGTTGATTTTACCTACTGAAAAAGGGAGCTCTGGTGGCATGGTGCCTAAGGCATTTGACTGCTAACCAGAAGGCTGGCAGTTCAAACCCACCAGCCCCCTTGGAAGGAAGACTAGGCAATCTACTTCCCTAGAGATACCACCTCAGAACCCAAGGAGGGGTCGCTATGAGTCGGACCCAACTCAACAGCAGTAAGTTTGGTTTTGGTTTTTGGTAAGTGTAAAAAATCATATTTTATTTGAGTACTCAAAAGATTTTTCAAAAAATAAACACCTATTTTTATAGCAAATATTAATAGAACTTGAGTTCAATAATTTAGTAAATATATCCATTCATATAAAATTCTAAATAATTGCTACTTTGATCTTAATATTTAAGACATTTAAATAAGATGATTCAAATTTCTCGTGTTAAATTATTTTCTTCCACTTAACTACTAACACTGCAATAAGCACCTTAGTGTGAGAAACCTTAAGTCTAGAAATCAAGACATGTGGGTTTCTGCCTCAGTTTTTAGAATACTCTTAACTAGCTTATCAGCAAATTTCAACACCTGACTCTACTTCTTATGTCCTGATTAAGGATTATCATAATAACAGTAACTACTATACAAATTTAGTGTCAGACATCTTACCTATATCATTTCTAACTTTTACGTCTTGCGAAATAGGCATAAATTTTACCGATTTCACAAATGAGAACACTGAGGCTCAGAGATTAAGTAAATTTTCCATACAAGTTTGTTAGTGGCTGAACTAGGTATTTAAACCCAGTTCTGCCTGACTCCAGAATAAAGCCCATGGTCCTTACATTACACCACTTTGCCAATGCCTTGAAATAATGTGTGATCCTTGTCCCTAGGAAGATAAGAGTACTACATTTGCAGGGCTATTAGGGAGACAAAATAATAAAATACATGAAAATACATGCCAAAATATATATATTGTGATTCTTCAGTTATTAAACTAAAAGTTAATTTTTAGTAAAAGATTTAAAAACTAAGTTATACTATAGAGACTATTCTTATTACTGTTACTAGCAAAGAAACACTGTACAATTAAAAAAAAATTAATCTTGCCTCTAGTAACATTGTAAATAAATCTAGAAAATAGGCTTTTATTCCAAAGTGTAGTAGTTGAAACCTAAATTATTCTGAAAGCCCCACTAAGTCATATACATTAATTTTAAAGCATTTATTAAAACTAGAGGGGAAAAAAAATTAAAAAGACAAAACCTAATGGAACAGAAGAAATGAAGAAACCCAGATACCAGTCCCTGCCATTTCACATAGATGAAAACACCTTCAATTATTCAAGAAAAGAGGATGAGATGTTCAATACTGTAGTAGCACAGTGCCTAAGGCACTTGACTGCTAACCAGAAGGCTGGTGGTTCAAACACACCAGCCACTCCTCGGAAGGAGGGTTGGGCAATCTACTTCCGCAATCTACTTCCGTAGTGATGCTGCCTCGCAAACCGACTCCACGACACATAACAACAACAACAACATACAAAGTATTTAAGGCGCTCTGGTGGCGCAGAGCCTAAGGCATGTGACTGCTAACCAAAAGACTGGCGGTTCAAACCTACCATCCACTCGGTGGAAGGAAGATGGAGCAATCCACTTCTGTAAAGATTTACCTCCTCTGAAACCTAATGGGGGTCACCAGGAGTAGGAACTGCTGGATAGCAGTGAGGTTTTTTTTTTTTTTTTTCATGTTGTTGTTGTTGTTATGTGCCGTCGAGTCGGACCAGACTCATAGCGACCCCTCCTTGGGTTTCGAGGCAGTATCACTACGGAAGTAGGATTGCCCAACCTTCCTTCTGAGGAGTGGCTGGTGGGTTTGAACCACCAGCCTTCTGGTTAGCAGTCAAGTGCTTTAGCCACTATGCTACCAGAGCTCCTAGATAGATGGAGAATGCCACCCAAAGATATTTCAGGACTTATACTAGTAGGGGGGGAGCTCTGGTAGCATAGTGGCTAAGACACTTGCCTGCTAACCAGATGGCTGGCGGTTCAAACCCACCAGCCACTCCTCGGAAGGAAGGTTGGGCAATCCTACTTCCATGGTGATACTGCCTCGGAAACCCAAGGAGGGGTCGCTATGAGTCGGGGCCGACTCCACCGCACATAACAACAACAACACTTCCATAGTGATACTGCCTCGAAACCCAAGGAGGGGTCGCTATGAGTCTGGTCCAACTCGACGGCACATAACAACAACAACAACATGAAAAAAAAATAAATAAATAAAACAAACTCACTGCTATCCGGCAGTTCCTACTCCTGGTGACCCCCATTAGGTTTCAGAGGAGGTAAATCTTTACAGAAGTGGATTGCTCCATCTTCCTTCCACCGAGTGGATGGTAGGTTTGAACCGCCAGTCTTCTGGTTAGCAGTCACATGCCTTAGGCTCTGCGCCACCAGAGCGCCTTAAATACTTTGTATGTTGTTGTTGTTGTTATGTGTCGTGGAGTCGGGTTTCCGAGGCAGCATCACTACGGAAGTAGATTGCGGAAGTAGATTGCCCAACCCTCCTTCCGAGGAGTGGCTGGTGTGTTTGAACCACCAGCCTTCTGGTTAGCAGTCAAGTGCCTTAGGCACTGTGCTACTACAGTATTGAACATCTCATCCTCTTTTCTTGAATAATTGAAGGTGTTTTCATCTATGTGAAATGGCAGGGACTGGTAGTAGATTGCCCCATCTTCCTTCCGAGCAGTGGCTGGTGGGTTTGAACCGCCCGCCTTCTGGTTAGCAGTCAACCCATCTTCACCATCGTAAACAGATAAAGATACTGTTATTACTACTCTATAGAAGTCAAGACGCTTCCCCAATACAAGGTTCTCAGCCATGCCTTATGACATTAGTACCACTAAAATGTTCGGTAGACAGTGAACAACTTAACTCACGGCCGCTTTTTGTAAACGTTAACATGGGGGGAGGGAGGGAATTAGAACTAGTGTGAAGCATGATTATTAATAAACGCACCCTAAATAGAAAACAGAATTGAAGTTTTCAGGTTACATATTAGCTATACCCTACAGCTAAAAACACAAATTTAGCTCAAAATAAAGCATAGTGTATTTTCAGTCATATGTCCTAATATGTGACCTAGTAACATAACTACCTCTTTACACAAAAATCATCATTACCTCTGTGACTCTGGGTCCTTTTCCCAACCATGGTCAAAGCGTTCCTCTCCGAGTCCTGAAAAAAATTCCCACTCTGACCATGTCAATTCCTTTGGGGTACCTCTAGATACAACTTTTTTTTCCACTGCTCTTTTTACCTCCTTTGGACAACCCCCCTCCCCCCCTACACACACACAGAACCACACAAAACTGCCGATTAAAGGAGCGTTCTTCATCTGACTTACCCTCTGCGTTAAACATTCATCCCGTGTCTAATTGTGTAATCGCAAGCAGGAAAGAATGAGAACAAAACTGTAAACTCAGAAAACCCACATAAAGAAAAAATAGAGGAAGAGAAGGAAGGTGTGAGGAAGGTCGGGCCCCGCCTGTCAACCTCAGAAAAATGAGTAAGAGTGGGGCAGGCGGCTAGAACCAGGCTCCCTTGCAGCGCCAACTCCCACCGCCGCTCATTTCCCCTCACCTCGATCTCACGGATGTTGTTGGAGGTGACGAAGATGCCGATGCCAATGGGGATGAAGATGAGGCCGATAATGAAGAAAGTAGGTAGCACCGTGCCCGCCGTAAGGATGGGTTGCCAGGCGGGCAGCCGTTGTTGTTTGAAGGCCGTATTATCCGGTCTCCGGTTCTTAGTGGTACCCACGGGAGCACCCGGGGGCCCACCGTCCACTTCATCTTTAGCGTTATAGTTCATCGCCATCGACCCACAGGGCGCGGCTGAGCGACGCGCAGGTGGATCGCCGAGCGGACCCGCCTGCTGACCCTGACAAAAGATGCGCAGGCGCCGCTGCCGCCGCCGTCGCCGCCGTTGCCACCCCGGCTGTAGAGGCGGAAGAGGCGGGACACCCTTCCGCAGGCTCTCGCTGACCGGAAGCGGGTGTCGGCTGGAGACGCCAAGGGAAGAGAGAGAGGAAGGAGGGAGAAGACTGAGGGACAAGGGGAGGGGAAAGGGGAAGAGGATAGAAGGGGGAGGGAAAAGGCGGACGCACCCTGATCATCTGCCCTGTGACGACAAAGTGAGGGGCTCAACCCACGGAGCATGAAGCTACGTTAGCGCATGCGTGATCCTGGGGGCGAAGAGACCTCCGTGCTTGCGCCATAGATAAGTTTCGCTCCGCTCGCTGACGCTTCTGTTCCTACATACCAATCTGTAGCTTTGGTTATCATAGCGACCGACAGCCGTTCTAGTTCTCAAGCCCTGTTCCCGGCTTGAGCCATTCTCGTCAGCCCTGGAGCTGCTGACAAAGAGGTCTTTCTGATGGCTTCAGCGCCATCCAGGTTTTTCTTTTTACCTCGATGGTAAGGGAGTGGGAGCATTAAAAAAGATCACACCAAGGGATTTTGAGCCTAGTAGGGTTAGCAGTTTTTCGGTAAAACCGTGACCTCTAATTAAGGAAACCGTCGCTCAGGTGCAAATATAAAGACTGAGATGTGTGATTTATTCTAAAGTCAAGAATAAATCGTGTGACTTAATTAACCCTATTATCTTCTGATTAAGCTGTTGTCACCTATTTTTCCTCCACGAATGGTCCTCTTTAATAGTTTTTTTCCCCCCCTTGTGTCACCGTTTTTCTTCTGCACGTTGATTTGAGAAGTCTTTTGTAATAAGCTATGTGAGCCTTGGTGGCCCAGTGATTAGAAGCTTAGTTCTCAAAGTAAGGTCGCAGTAAGGAGAAGAGGATGCACAAAAGTGGGGTTAAAGAGAAGTTTTTTATTCTGCGCTCCCGGGAGAGGCTTACGGGTCCCTGAGAGGGGCCAGAGAAGTCGCGCTGCCCAGGTGAAAGAAAGGGTTTTTTGTAGTGATTTTCTTCCTGGTTCTTAGAGGACCGGAGTGAGAGCAGGGTATATGTTACAGGGACCAATAAGGTTAAAGTACCCCATTAGCATGGGGGTAGGAAGCAGAGTTGAAGCACTTCATTAACATAGTGGGCAGGAAATGGTTGGGGGCTTTGGTGAGTAAGAGTCAGGTGCTGGGTCTTTCGTGGTACGTGCTGGGGTTTGGTATGGGCTCTGGTCAGGCGCCTCCTTGCTTGACCAGTTCTTATAATTCCCTCCGGCTCAATCATTCACCCGCCTGGCCACCCATGTTTCTGCCTAACATTCAATTCCAACCCACCAAGCGCTCAGTGGGAGAAAGATGTGGCAGTTTGCTTCCGCTGAGATTTATAACCTTGGAAACCCTATGGGGCAGTTCTACATTGTCCTGTGGAGTTGCTATTAGAGGGAATCCAGTTCACGGTAGTGGATTTTAGATGTTAATAAACTTCTAGCTCTTTTCAGACTGCTGATAATCAAAAATCTCAACAAAGTATGTTGTTGTTAAGTGACGTGGAGTCGGACCCCTCATAGCGACCCCTCCTTGCGTTTCCGAGGCAGTATCATTGCAGAAGTAGATTGCCCAACCTTCCTTCCAAGGACTGGCTGGTGGGTTTGAACCACCAGACTTCTAGTTAGCAGGCAAGTGCTTTAGGCACTATGCTACCAGAGCTCCCCAACAAAGTATAGCATTGCAATAAAATGAAATATTATGCAGACACTTTAAAACTACAACTATTTCATGACCAAGAAAATTCTCAGGATATAAAAAGTGAAAAAAATCAGGATCTCGTAGTATAGATAGTACAGAGGTAGAGCCCAGTGACTTTGGTTGACAGGATGAAGAATGTTTCTCTGCTTCTTTGCACATTTGGTATTTTCCAAAATTTCTATGCTAAGCATAAAGTATATTATTTGTAATTTTTAAATGTGTCTAAAATCCACATTATACTAACTTCTTTTAAATCCAACCAGAGATGAAATAGCATTATGTTAACAAATGCTGAAACTTTTTTTTTTTTTTTAAATAAGGCTCCGTGCACAGGTAACCTTTTAAAAGGGAAACTAAAGAGTATTTGATCTTAATAGTTTGCAATTAAATATTTTTCTGAATGACCACAAGTCACAAGATTGTGAGCCAGTCGAATATTTATTTGGCAGATTTTAGAGGAAAATAATACCTGTTACAGATTTGCTTGATTTTGCTCTTAAATGACAACCATAACTGCTCAAATTCTTGTCAGTGGTAACATGTTGTTAGGTGCCATGGAGTAGTTTCGGCTCATAAAGACCCTGTGTGTAGCAGAAGAAATGCTGCTTGGTTTGGCATCATCCTTAGTCGTTGCTGTGCTTGAACCCATTACTGCAGCCACTGTGTCAATGGATGTGTCAATCCATCTTGTTGAGGATCTTCCTCTTTTTTGCTTACCTTCTACTTTATAAAGCATGATGTGCTCCAGGGATTAGTCCCTCCTGATGTAGTTAGGTGCCATCGAGTCGGCTCTGACTCATAGCAACCCCTTTTACAACAGAACGAAACACTGTCTGGTCCTGTGCCAGCCTCACAATACTTGGTATACCTGAGCCACTGAGTCAAGCCATCTCCTTGAGGACCTTCCTCTTTATCGTTGACCCTCCACTTTACCAGGCATTATATCCTTTTCCAGGGAATGATCCCTTCTGACAACATGACCACAGCAGGTGAGATGAAGTCTGACCATTATCACTTCCAAGGAGCATTCCGGCTATACTTCTTCCAGGACAGATTTATTAGTTCTATGGCAGTCCATGGTAATTTGAGTATTCTTCACCAACACCACAACTCAAAAGTGTGAGACCACACGTTTGTACTAAGCCCTCCAGGTAATTATTCTTTAACTAGGAGCCATTAGTGCCGGGAACTCCAGCATGTTCCCCACGCCTCAGGGCTTTACCTCACAGAGTCCTAACTGCCACCCCCCCTTTACTTCCCCAAGCAATAACCAATCAGTGAATAATAGAGAAGAACCTGAAGTCCTGATTTCCCTGACCCCATAGATACCCCCTAGCAACAACCAATCAGTAAATATCAGGAAAATACTTGAAATTCCTATACCTAAAATAGTTAGAAACGGCAGTTGCGCCTCGGCCCACGGGACAGGGCCAATCAAGTAGGGACAACGTGCAATTCGAAAAGTGACAACCAATCCTGTAATTTTTCTGATTGAAACTCCCTCGTTCCTGCTCCATCCCCGATAAAAGACCCCCTTCCCTTTGTTTGAGGCTCTCAATCCTGAACCGCTGCGTCGGTGACGGTTGAGGGTCCGAGTTCGAGCTTGAATAAACTTTCCTTTTGCTTTTGTTTTATCGTGTCTGTGGTAGCTTCCTCGCGCCGACACTCCTTTCAAGACCTGGGACCAACAAAAGCATCAACTTTTCTTCAGTCTTCCTTATTCATTGTCCACCTCTCACAGGAATATGAAGCAATTGAAAATACCATGGCTTGGGTTAGGTACCTATTTGCTCTTCAGCACTTTAAAGAGGTCTTTTGAAGGAGATTGGCCCAGTGTAATACATCATCTGATGTCTTGACTGCTGCTTCCATTGGTGTTGATTGTGGAACCAAGTAATATGAAATCTTTGACAATTTCAATCTTTTCTCCATTTATTGTGATGCTGCTTATTGGTCCAGTTGTGAGGATTTTTGTTTTCTTTATGTTGAGATGTAATCCATACTGCAGACTAATCATTAGTAATTAAAGACTAATCTTGAATCTTCATCAGTAAGTGCTTCAAGTCATCCTCACTTTCAGCAAGCAAACTTGTGTCATCTGCATATTGCAGGTTGTTAATGAGTCTTCCTCCAATCGTATGTCATGCTCTTCTTCAGATAGTCCAGCTTCTCAGATTGTTTGCTCAGCATACAGATTGCATAAGTATGGTGAAAGGATATAACCCTACACATTCCCTTCCTGATTTTAAACCATGCAGTATCCCTTTGTTCTGTTTGAATGACAGCCTCTTGGTCTGTGTACAGGCTTCTCAAGAGCACAGTTAAATGTTCTGGAATTCTCATTATTCTCACTGTTACCCATAATTTGTTATGATCCACACAGTTGAATGCTTTTGCATAGCCAATAAAACACAAGTAAACATCTTTCTGGTATTCTTAACTTTCAGCCAAGATCCATCTGACATCAGCAATGATATCCCTCATTCCACGTCCTCTTTTGAATCCAGCTTGCATTTCTGGAAGTTCTCTGTCCATATGCTACTACAACCGTTTTTGAATTATCTTCAGCAAGATTTTACTTGTGTGTGATACTAAGGATATTGTTTGATAATTTCCACATTCTGTGGGATCACCTTTCTTTGTAATGGGTACAAATATGGATCTCTTCCAGTCAGTTGGCCAGGTAGCTGCCTTCCAAGTTTCTTGGAGTAGACGAGTGAGTGCCTCCAGCATGGCATCAGTTTGTTGAAACATCTCAATGGGTATTCTGTCAATTCCTGGAGCCTTGTTTATCACCAATTCCTTCAGTGCAGCTTGGATTTCTTCCTTCAGTACTATTAGTTCTTGATCATTTGCCACCTCCTGAAATGGATGAACCTCAACCAGTTCTTTTTGGTACAGTGATTCTGTGTATTCCTTCCATCTTCTTTTAATGTTCCCTGCATCATTCAATATTTTGCCTATAATTGTTTCTTCAGTTCTTTCAGCTTGAAAAACGTCAAGCTTGTTCTTCCCTTTTGGTTTTCCAACTCTAGGTCTTTGCACAACTCATTATAGAAATTGACTTTGTCTTTTCGAGCTGCTCTTTGAAATCTTCTGTTCAGCTCTTTTATCTTGTCATTTCTTCTGTTTTCTTTAGCTACTCTCCATTTGAGGGCAAAGTTTTCTGATAGCATGTCCAAAGTGAGAGAGTTTCACCATCCTTGCTTCTAAGGAGCATTCTGCCTTTACTTCTTCCAAGACAAATTTGCTTGCTCTTCTGGCAGTCCATGGTATATCCAATATTCTTCACCAACACCAGAATTCATATGCATCTGTTCATCTTTTTTGGTTTTTCTTATTCATTGTCCAGCTTTGGCATGCATATGAGACAATTGGTAGCATACTTAGGTTTATATTTTGTTCGGTCAATGTGAGTTTACCTTTAACCTCAGACAAAAACAATGAAAAACCTCAAATGAAAAACAATGC